GACAAGAAATGCTGCAACTGCAGATGGCATCCTGGAAAAAGGAGCACTTTGCATCCATTTACTATGCAAATGAATTCATTTAACATTAGATGACAGCAGGTCAGGAACCAGGCTAGAAAGTTGGCAATTTAGGAGTCAAGTTCTACTGTTGTCCTCTTAAAAGTGAAAGAGGAAAAAAAAAAAACACACCAAGGGAGAGTTAATAGTAATTAAGTAGGAAACAGCAATTAAGCACAGAATGTATTTTCATTTTTAAGCCATTAAAATCCTTGGGTGCTTCCACAAAACTAAGGGCCATGCTGCATATCCACACAGAAAACAAGAAAGAGAAGCTGCCTGCAGCAGCGGTCTCTGACCCACAGGTCTGGGACTTCCACTCCGAGACAAACATGTTATCTATACAGAGAAAAACAACTTGAGAAACCTGGAGACACAGAAAAGGTCTCTGGCAGTAACTTAATGTATGTGAGCTAGCTTTAGCTCCCCTCATTCTCAAAGCAATTCCACCTGTACTCTCCTAATGGGCCTTAATGTCTTGGTAAAAGTTGTAGGAAAGGTTGATAAATGGTCTTGTTAAGACACACCAAATCATTGCATTATTTAAAGCAGAAGAGAGTACAATTTAGAAGCAAACGCTTCTGGACTGCAAACCCCAGCAGGGATTTAGGGAAAAAAAAAGACAGCAACTGAACGAGACATTCTCTATACACCTAAAAACAAACCACAAAGTAAAGACACGAAACTTGCATCCTAAATGAAATTAAAAAAAAAAAAATCCACATGTATTTAACGAATCTCATAGCAAGTTGTCTTCCTTACTTCTTCCCCAATTTTCCTTTTCCATAACCAAAAAGCCAGCCAAATTCACTAAATTAACCTTTTCTTTGTTTTCACTGTTCCTTCCCAAATTTCCAGTGAACCTATTTCTCTCAACAGGTTCATCAGAAGATGAAGATACCTTTACTTTATAAAGCAACACCCAAGATCGCATCTATCACAAGGCTCATGACCATTGTGAATAGTAAAAGGGTTACTGTCATTTCAGATCCATCCATCATACTGGGTCTGACCCTTTAAATGAAACACAGCAATGAAAGGAGGAAACGTCTTCCTGATCTGAGGACGAGAACAGAAACACAACTGCAGTAGCTGTGGAAAACTTCAGTGTTTAGAGAGCAGGTTAGAGAAGCAGCATGCAATAAATCCTCTTGCCAGACCACAGCTTGGCATGTGGGCTCTGCTGCCCACTCTTCTTTTTGCAAACTGGAATACAGGATTCCCAAAACATTTGTTTGGAAGAGACAGTTTTTAGCTACGGTTAGGGACAGGGTGGAATGACACACACAACCCACCTGTCATATTTCAGGTGATATCAGGATACAAAAGATCCCTAAAATGGCTAAAGTCGTGGAAAAGGTTTGACTCGGAAGGAGCCCTCAAAATAAATACTGGTCTCCAAAGTCACACTAAATCTTAACCAGTTGCCTCTTCTTCCTTTGACTCCTGCTGACTATTGTAGATTGTCAGTTAGCCATGGTGACTCTGTATGGACGTCACCAATTATTAAAGAGAAAATCCCAGAATTTTTCAGTTTTTGGCAAAAAATTTGAGTGGCATTCTTGATGATAACAAACTTTGTGCAGTTTCTCTGATCTCCAGCCTATAAGTTACCAGGTCCAATGTTACTCATTACCCTCACACAGGGCTTTCTTGCATAGTGGTGCAGATAGACCCATTTCTGAGCACAACCCCCTTCAACCACACAGACTAAATCAACATCTAGCATTACACACGACTTTCGTCAGTTTAGAAAGCAGGTAAAAATTGGGGCTATATGAAACCAGTAAGCTGCCTTAGCTTTGGGTAAGGGGTGAAAGAGTGCATGATCATTCATCTTTTATCTTATATGCTGACCTCAATTGCTAACACCTCCGTCAAAGCATCCGCCACCCCGCGTACCTGCGGTGCTTTACAGCACCTGTGCTGCTAACACCAGACTTTCAGCTACCCTTCGACACAAGCAATCCAAGCCGACTGCTCCGGATACGCGATTCGGCCTGCCCTGCTCCAGCTCTGGACACCACACCAGCACCGGGTAGGCTCAGAGCGAGGAGAGACAGAGACTTAGGAATTCCACGGGGGAAAAAAAAACATGGTATTGTACACAGGATGACTGCAAAGGACAGCCAGATAGATCAGGATTTTAAGGAGAGGTCAGGGTAAAATTAGTGGGGTTTTTGGAATCACTTCTTTTCATTTATTTTGAAATAAGTTTCCCCAAGGCTCCATATTATCAAAGCTGAGACCTAGATTAACAACAAAGTAAAGATCAGAAAGCAGCGTAAAAACCAGCAAATAATTAAGCTGCAGTTCACACTGTGAGTCGATGTGCTTGAAACAAATCCACCCACATCTGTTGATCAACTTCATTAAAGTTACTGAAAAAAATACTGAAATAAAAGCAGTTGTGCATATGTAACACCCATCTTGTGCTCAGAGATCCAAACCACAAGAACATCTAAAAACTCAGAAGTTCAGAGATTCTCTCAGTTCTTCTGGAAGACAACACAGCACACACTTTAGGACCGTTTCCAAGGAGGACAAAGGACGCTGGCACATCATCAAGGGGACTAACTTCCAAATTAAATCTCAAATTCATGTATTTTTCCAAACGGTAAACGGTTTGTAGTTTGCAATTAGTTCCATTCATGGAAAATTCAATTTATAGGACCAGCTACTGTGTCAACAGGAGACGAGTAAGCAAAAAGGGATTTTAACACTGATGTCTGTCAAACAAACATTCTCTGCTGATGCTAATCACCTTATCTCATTAGTGCTTTGAATGATGAGCTGCAGAGGACTTCCAACAAACAACGCAAATTTCCAGCAAGAGTAATAAGACTTATTACTTTTCGTACGTCCATTTTTATCCCTAGATCTGGAAGGGCCCTACTATTAGCATGTAATCACCACCTACGTTGTAACAGGGAGAGAAAGCATCACCAACCGAAAGACAGCCCATATCTTACCTACTCCCACATCGTCTCCTTCTGTTCTGGACTTTTCTTTGCTGATCTTATCCCATTGCGAGAGGAAGCAAGGAGGCAGCATGCCACCCTCCACAGCACAGCAAAGCAACATTGATAAACTACCTTTTCTGGATTACTTTTCCCCACTAACTTGCCATCGCCCTCTCCATTTACCTTGAGCAGCTACTTTCAATCATGAAATCACCTTGCCCCACATCTCTGACTGAAGCTTTGAATTTTCCAGAGGAAAGAGCTCAGCCCCACATGACAGCAGACGCTATCAATGACAGGACTGAAATATGTCTCCTCCCTCAACAAGAGAGGCAGTCACCATTTACTGACTGCTCTCTTGATGCATTTAAGTGGTTTCTTAAAAAACAGGACCACCTTATTGATCAAACGGTCAAATGGAATTGTGTAAGTAATGTCTCAACACTGCTGCGCTCTGCAGCCACGTTCATCAGCCTGAAGAAAATGAAGTCTCCAAACTGGCACATGCTTTTTGCATGCCCTGTAAGAACAGTACCTTTTTTTAAAAAAATAAATCAAAGTTATCCTGGAATGTAGAAGCTGAAGTAGATCAGAGCACTGCAGACGCTAATAAAAACCTATGATGTGGATTAGGTTAATCTACTGATGATCAATTTGTCTCCGTTTATTGCAGAATCTAGTATTCGTTGAGATAATCCTTTTATCCCTGCCATGACTAATTTCCTCTTGCGAAACAATACTAGAAAATGAAGCTCTAGTAAGGGCAAAACTATGATGTCTGAAGCCTACTTAAAGGACCCTAGTCTCCAGTGGGACTGCAAATAATTTCAGCAACGGGCCCTTTCAGAACACTGTTCATTACTTACTGCATTTGTGAAGTTAGTCAGGAGAACAGTTATTGCAATTTAGAGACAACAAGCCCAAGAAAGAGAAATGAACTAGGTTCTGAAGATGCCTTAATCAGTGGAGATCTGACAGAAGCATACTTCAGTGCAACAGAAGCTGCAGTGCCAAATCTTTATTAGTTGTGTCCAAACTAACAGATTTCAACATAAAACTGAAAAATCCAGCAGTGCATCTGCACTATTCGTTTATAGACTATTTACAAAAATCTCAAAAAAAAAAAAAAAAAGCAAAGTGAAAGAGTCGGTGTAAGGAATATTGGTTCTTCAGGTTTTTCACAGCGCACACCTCTGACCTCAGCTTCTAACTCTTCCCCCCCCCCTTTGCAGGTGCTCTGAGAAACACAAATGCCATCTCTAACCAGAAAAGTTCCTTTGCAAGGAACACTAGAAACGCTCTGGAGTTCAGGTTTGTAACTTTTCCCATAGGTCTTTATTCACTATAGCTTAAAATAAGAGTATGCCAGTAACTTCCATAGAAGTGTTTGGGACTAAAACTGGACCCACATTTCAGTCTCAATGTAATTCCACAAAACCTTCCCCGGCATTTACAAAAAAAAGCCATTTGTGGAGAGGAAGCCTAAATCAAAACAAATGGGGAGCTGTTTGAAAGCCCATTGTTCATATAAAGGAAAACGTGCCTATCATAGGAAGCAGAAAATGAAAATTTGCAGAGACAGCCTACTGATCACAGTACACTTCACAAACTAGAAGTGTGATTCCCAATACTTAATGGCACTGTATGTGCTGGAAGATGCACGGCAGTTAACCGCTCAACTGGGTCACGCTCCACTGTGCTGGAGACCTCCCTATACAGATCCACTCCCCCAGCCTGGATAAACGACCTACTCTTCCTACAGAGCCCACTGGGCAGAACCGTACTGACAAACAGGGTTTTATGACAAGAGAGTCTGTGCATGGACGTAACTGACATTGCTATTGTGGCCAACAAAATGGGGATATCTCTGCCAAAATGGAAAATATATGGTATTTTATTTCAAACCCAAATAATTAAAAAAAACACGCTAAACACAGGATGCAGTGAACAACAGATTAGTATTCCACACTCGTGCCTTACCGTAAGCAGCCAGAAGTGTTCTTGAAGACAGTTGTCCACTCAGCGTCGCGAGGTTTTGAGTCCTCATTTGGCTCACTCTCCCAGCCGGAATGGGGTATAATCACCTCGTTGGTGAGCGTCTGCAGACCGTGGTTGATGATGACCATCTTCAGGGGCTCATAGGAGGACAAGTTCCACAGGGTGCCTTCAGGAGAAACAGCAATTATTAAACAAGTAACAAGAGAGCAATAATTCTTTTTACTCTCTTTCATTACAGAGAAGATGAAATCACAAAACAAAATAAGGTGAAACCATTTTTGAAGTTTCCGAGACTCCAGACTACCGCCTCTTGCTTAGAGAGCATTGCACAGTCGTTGCAACAGAGACACTTCCAAAGGCTGTTTCTGAAAAGATGTTTTTGAAGTCATCAGATCTTGCTGCAGAGAACATAAATGTGAGGTGTTACTAGAGATCGATGGGCTATTTTTGCTACAGACAAATTTTCATATTGTTACGTTTTAAAGTCTAGCTATGCCCCCAAAAGCAAAAATTCACCCAGTACAGGAGACAAGCATATTAAGTCCTAAAAACAAGGCTGAATTTATGGAGGATCATTGATCTTATGTTTATCGTCTGCACTAGACAATATTTCACTCAAGACTCCCCTCTCGCTATTATTCACTTCCACATTTTGCTGTCGGAGGCAGCATCTGTGTTCAAGTCTCCTGGCGCCACAAGTACATCATTCCCCGAAGGAGCAGAGAACCGAGAGTCCTCTTCTGCCTTCTCTTTTTCACCTTAGTTATGAGTCAAAGCAGACTGAAGCTAATCATCAAAACAACACAACTGAAGTCAGAACAGCATTACAACTGTCATAGCACCCAGGCCAGAGATGAGCTACAGCTTCCCAGCAGACCTGTATCAGTGTCCTCTACCCCGTGAGGATTTACCAGCCTTTAGGGATATTTTGGAAATAGATTAAACTGGTAAAAGCACTAATTTCTATGTAGTAAATTTAAACACTTAACCAGTTCAGTAGCAGGATTTTGTTAAACTATGCCAAAATCTAAATTGCAGAATTTTAGCATAAAAAAAAACCAGGCTTGTCCACTAGAAGATATGAGCTTACTGAACTGTATATGTTCACATATAAAAAATACTGAATAAAGCAAGGGCTTTTTTTTTTTTTTTTTGAACAAGGTGCTGGAGAGGCCCAGATCATAGGCCGTTTTATCAAGCTGCAATAGAAAGACTGCTTGTCCGCTGTGACATTAATTGCACACCATTTCAAAAAGCTTCAAGTGAAAACCAAACTTTCTATTCAGAACTTCTCATGTGGAAAAGTGAAGTCACAGAATGAACTACATTTAATATTAAACAACCTGCCTTCATAAAATTGACAAGCAGCACAGACAAAAGCCTCTGCTCTCGCTCTTTTCATACCTTCAGTAGAAGCTCATCTCTGAGGTCAAAAGGCTGAAGATTTAGCTGGTTTTCAATATTTCACATAGTCACATAAACTAATGCCAAAATACTAGCAACTTTTCAAATCTCAATTAAAAAAAAATAAGTCTGGTGTAAAACAGGCTATTCACTTCAGAGACTATTTCTGCATAGGCCTGGCCTAGTAACATTTGAGAAGTATCAGGAAGAATATGTGGAGGGAGTCAGAGGCACAATTTTGATCTCCAGGAAAAAGTGTGAAAATTAGGAAGGTTTCAGGTAGACTACAACAAGGGGACAAACAAGGTGTGACCTTCTGTTTCAATCCCTCTCAATCACTCCCAAGTTTCAAAACCTAAAAGTTTTAAACCTCTGAAGTCTTTGCCCGTTCATTTTTGATCCATTATTTTGCTCACTCTACCAAATCTATTGACTCATGGAGGGGGTCAGCTGGCGCGAAGCCCGCGGGAGCCTGTGGGCGCGCGCAATGCTCCCGCTCGCCAGAGGCCCACCAAAGCACCACGCACCTCCTCACGCGAGAAAGCGGCGCTCTCATGGATACTCTTCTTCACACTCCACCTTCCACTACTACCAGTCAGAAGTGTCAAATGCCACATGTCCTATTTTAACATCAGAGTATTATCCATATAAGGTCATGCTAGGTACCAGCTCTGAAAGGGAATTTTATCTCCGTTACGAGTAGTGAGTGGCACTTATGTGATAACCTCAATGGCTGATGGTTAGCAGAGCCTCTGAAGTCTTACACAACGGTGTCTCCTATTCAAAGTGGCATTTATAAAATCCAGACATCTGTTCAGACTTAAGAGACCATATTAGTTGTTAAAGAAATCCTAAGGCAGGCTATAGGATGAACTGCTGATGTTAACATTATGTTTCTTCACTTTTGGTCTCTTTCTGAGGTCATCCAAAAATATTATTTTTTGGCCTACTTCCGCTGTCACTCATAGACAACACACTGAATGAAAATTTCAGAGCTTACTTTTTTTTTAAGCTTTCAAACACAGTAACATATCTGAAGGATAAGTTAATTTTCCGTTCATCAGAATAAACCACCCTTTGTCACTGCAGAAACCACTAAATACAATGAACATTTAAAAACAAGTAGGAAATGTCCCATTTTGTTGTGGAAGAAAGCCTTTAGTTCTCATAAATTGGCTCAAAAATATACATCATATAAGGAAAATACAAGACAATATTTATGATAAGGCTATAAAAAAACTGATGTGTACATTATCAGATTTAAATGTCTGAACTTCACTAAACAGTCTTTCTTTAGTCACAGAACAGCAATGCCTTAAGCGTATCAGACTCACTGATTTAAAATAATACTTCTAATTAGGGTCTTAAATGCATTGCTGGCTCAGTACTTTTGAGATTCCAGTGCAAAATCAGAACATCCAGCACTGAATTACGTGGACAAAAACCAGAAATCTACACAGGCTGATCCTTCTCTGGAGCGAACCTAGATTCGGCTACAAGAACAACAGGTGTAGAATATCCTGGCCTCCGAATTTACTTCGGGACTTCTACAGAGGAACATAAAGGAAAGGAATCATTCTATATTTGAAACCGCCAAAAAACAGTTATATCTGGAAAAGACAGTATCAGCTAGGGAACCTCGTACCAGCATTCCTAAGGATCCTATACTTCTATTCTTCTGAGATGGCAAAACATTACAGCTGAAAACCACAGAGCTTTTTAAAGTCATCTGCATGTGAAAGAGTTGAGTTTTAAAATCTGACAGCCCTTCATATTTACGAGACTCTTCCTTGACTTCATCTTCTGCATCTGAAATGAGATTCTGCCTTTTCCCCTTTCCTGGGGGAGCAGCATAATTTATCATCTGTATTATAAAACTGAAAAGGCAAATTTCAGAGCTTAAGAAGAATCAGGTAGATAAATATTTTAAAAAAGCCAAAAACATCCACAAAAATTCCAATGGCTTTAACATTAGAGGATTTTGCAAAAGTTCGAGTATTCAAATCTTTTGTTCAATTTCAGTCTTAGAGATTCACGTCTAGATTTCAATACTTTCAATCCAAATCTGTAAAATAAAATCGTCATCTCCAAATTCCCTCTCTTCTATATTCTTAATCACTAGTAGTTATTTCAAAAGAGACTACCTTCAGCTGGGATTCAACAGAATTATAACCAGGTTGCAAAACAAATAGCACAATCCTGCACATTTACCCCACACATATCAACTTCACTAATGCTAGTAACCCCATCCAAATCAGCAGCAGAACTACTTACATGTACAAAAGGAGCTTTTGCACATGTTCATCCATAATTTCTAATAAAGGCTGAATAAGATTTATGCAATAAAACATTTAGGAGCAAACACATTTTTACTGTCAAGCTCACTGCCTTCGAGTGGTTGCAAGATAACAAGATAATAGGGACCAAAATTAGACAGATCTCTTTTCTCCATCCCCTTGAAGGAACAAAAAACAGATTGCATGCTTTTCATTTTCTCACCAGCCTCCCATCTCTTGCAAACCTTTCATAGAAGACATCAGCAAACTCTCTGAAGAGGCATAAAAATACCCTATGATACAGAAAAATACATAGTAGAAGCTCTTCAGGATATTCAAAAAAAAAGTTAAAATACTAACAAAAAAACCTATTCACAGTACCCTCCTTGGCAGCTGCATAAGGAAAACACCCAAGCTGAATCCCTCTGCTGAGCAGCATTCAGAGAAGGGAAGTGCACATGAGTAGCCCCAGACAAACAGGGACGAGGGAGCCTGGTGGTTCCAAAGGCGGAAAAGATTCAGATTCAGGGTTGACTTCACGAGGAGAACATCCCTCAAGAAGGGATGCAGATAACAAACAGTGACAATGCGTTTTCTCATTTAAAGTTACCAAAGAAGTATCAATCCCAGCACCCTTTCAGCTCTTGAAAAACAAACCCCATGGAAGAGACACCGACAGTTGCAGCCACAGAAATATTTAAAAGACATGAACAAATTTAGATCAAATTGTAGGTTTCAGCAGTGCAAAAGAAAATTTGAATTAAAAAAAAAAAAAAAAAGACTAAAACGCCTGCAAGTTTGACCTCCACCTTTAAGAATCATTCTCTGCATCTATTATAATACACAAATGATCTAACAAGCTGGAAATACTGCTTTTAAAACTCTTAAGTTTAATCAATCCAGATGAGTAACACTCAAGAGTAATCAAGTCATTAAAGCAGCAGCATAAGGGAAATGATTTATCATAATTTTCCATATACTTTTACCAAACGTGTTTGCCTTTTTGACCACAAGCTGAATGCATCTTAGAACTAAGAAAGAAAATGGATTACTACTTTTCAGAAGATGATAATAATCAAGTCTTTATTTCATTCATAAGCACTACTTGCAACATACATCCATATTTCTAACCATAATCATTACCCCTCCTTTCAGCATTTTAAGAGAGGACAACAGCTACACAGTTTTATTTCAGAAATAGTGATTATCATAAAATATATTGAAAATGACTATAAGCTATAAAAACTGCTATACAGTTTCTGTCATATTAAAGTGATTAGGGCCATGGCCCTAATTTCCAATGTCTCCACCTCTTTGGAGTTAATTGTGAAAAGATTTTCTAAAGACACTATGCCAGAATACATACTTCTATTACCTTCTGAAATCCAAGCAAAATCTTTTCCTGCTGTGCTTACTTGCAAAATCCAGTGTTACCATTTAATTAAAACAAATCAAGAAACTGTTTAACTCTTTATCGCTGATCCATCCTAAAATCATTTATCATATGAAAAGCAGCACACTGCATACATTTCCTGGGGACATTTTGTTGTATGTTCATCCTGTACCCATCCATCTGACATGCTAGATGTCTAGTCTTATTTGACTTGTTCTAAGTCCCGAAGTTGGGAGCTCTGCTTCTTCAGGCTAAGTCAAAGTCAAGCACAGAATCTCACTCATGAACTACTGCGTCCCAGAACGCACCTCGAAAAGCGATACTCTCTTGATAAACTTTCCAGTAGAAAAAGGAAGGACTAAGTCCATCTGCAATAAGAAAGTTCAAGACAGCACCATACTGCTAGGATAGATTCTTGTCCGATCTGCTGATAGGATTTTAACATCCATAAATGCCTGTAAGATATGAATTCTCAGTTGCTCAACCTGGAAGTTTCTATTATAGAAGAGTATTAGATCAAAGGGCTTCCTTTACTGAGCATTTTAAAAGTCAATCATTTTTCACTGAAAACTAATTTGGCAATATACATCATCAGGAAAATCACGTTCTACACCACTTAAAATAGTGTGCAATGTTGTTAAACAACAAGATTACACTTCAATGTTCTCAAAAGGAACAAAAATATTCATTAAAGCTACCAATTTCTGATTGCTTGTCAAAGAGTGTAATAGGATTTTGGTCTTGCATATCTGATGGGAACATTGGTTCCACACAAAACCTTATCACTCAAGATAAAACTTTTGCAAGCTTTCTCAGTCAGAACAGATTTCTTTCCTTATCAGCTCAATCCTCATTTCTCTCCATTTTTCAAGAAAATGATCCACTGAAAGTGGAGCAGTATGCAGTCCCAGGAGGACAACTAGAGACACAGGCAAGGAAGAATGCCTCTGAATATCTCTCATTACAACTCCTCTCATGATGTACCTATGGACACTCTAATAATTCAGCCACGCTGTCCCCAGTGCAGGAGGTAGCCATCTTTGTAACTCCGCGTTCTGAAAAACATCAAGGGCAAGCTTCACGGCCACGCTGTCCCCAGTGCAGGAGGTAGACATCTTTGTAACTCCGCGCTCTGAAAAACATCAAGGGCGAGCTTCACAGTATTTTATGATTGCATCCTGAGTTTTGAAGATATACTTTTACATGCCTCACATATTCGTATTACCCTGAGGGACATCACATTTTAGTGCCATTTCCAGATACATTAAGAACATCTGCTTTACCAGATATGACATTAACCCAGAGAAGGCTTTCAATTCTGTTAAGAACAGTACTACCAGACAGGAAAAAAAAGCTACAGACTTGCTGAACCTGGCAGCAGCATAGTATCAATATACTCAGCCCGCTTATAACACTGGGTGCCAATATATTTAACCTATGTTTTCCAAAGAGTAGACTCCAGGAAATAGACTGGTGAACACGCTCCTGACATGGCAAGTCTCATCCGTTCAGCAGCGAGTGTCACACATCTGATTCCTTCCTCATACTCCCCTGCTGCTACATCTCATGCATTTTCAACATATTAGCATGGCTTTTTTCCCCCCACTCCATTAACCCACTGACCAGACCCAGCTGGCTGGCTGATTCACACTGTTCAGCACAGCTGTGACTGCTGCACCAGATCACCCAGTTAATGGGAGGTGCCTTCTTCTCCCAGGAGGCACCCCTTCCAACCACAAATAACACGTCCTACCTACCTCCTGCGCAGCAGGCAGGCACAGGGTCCCACACCCAGGGAAGCAAGACTAAGACTGGAATTAAGATGCTTGGTAGGGGCTATATTCCCAGACTGCTCTTGAATTTGGACATCTAAATTACAGAAGTATCTTTGGAAAGCTGGATTATTTTCTCATTCATCCACATCTGGGATGACCAGCTGATGATTACTGTTTCAGCTTCCAAAAAAGAAGTCAATACAGAATTAAAAGAAATAATAAAAACCAGCAAAGTCAATGTGTCATGCAGGACTTGAATCTGCAGCCTGTTAAAATAAAAGTCCCCACCAAAAAAACCCTATGCTGTTGTCTTTTCTTCCATTTTAACCTAAAAAAAGTCCCCCAAACCAAAAAAACAACATACACACCCACACCAACAAACACTGCATTGCTGCAGAAGTCTCCGGAGCATTCACTCCGGACAGAATCAAAAACCTTGACGGCAAAGGTAGACTTTGATTTATCATTATGGAAAGGTAACTTGATAGGAAGTCGAGATTTCTACCACGAGACCATCAAAAGGGTGATCTGAATTTTCAGGGCTGCAGAGCACAGGCCTCTTGTAGCCGCCTGGGCTGAACGCTCCTTTTGCACTTCAAGTCAGCTCCTGTTAGTCTCTGCTGCCTTTCGGAGCTCGTTCCATGTTATCAGCCGGGGCTGCGACCACGAGGTGCAAGCACACCAGCACCAGCTGCAGAGGCCTTGCTGCGATACTGTTCTCTCCAACACTGAAACCGGCATGTTTCACACCAGATCTGGTGATACCGTTTCAGAAGTGGAATGAAATCATTCCTGGTTCGGTGGAGATTAAAGGCGCATCATCTGTTGCTGGACATCTGTCTAGGTTAATGCCTTCAGTATTCCTGGTGTTCCTCAGTAAAGGGAAATAAAGAGCTTTAAATAGCAAGAAGGGAAGTGGAACAGAAATATTACATCTAATTAGCAGGAGGTAGTGTCAAACAGAATGTATTTAAATTGTAAAATTAATTATCAACTGGAAATCAAAGCAATTGCCGTTCAGAGAGAAAAGGGAAAAACCTCCAGTTTGTTGTTGCCATCTCAAAAGTGACTTGATTAGCACTTAACATTATAATGATATTCCTTCAGAGTAAATTACAGACTGACTTTTCCTTTCGTGAATCTAAAGGAATAAATTTATTCCTTCTCAGCACTCCAGAAATGAGGTTTGAGTAAACTAGAACAGCAGAAAAACAAATGTTTTTTATTAAAAAAAAAATAGTAGGAAAAAGCAGCCAGCCATCAAACTAAATGAGCGCAGCAAACAGAATACAAACTGCCTAAAGAGTTCCTATGTCAAGAGACAAAGCACACACAACAATCAAAGCAAAACCAACACATTAATGAGAGGATTCCTGACAAAACAGACAGCTCTCCTTCACCAGCTATCTGAAACAGGGCTGGGGAAAAAAACCTGCCAGTTTCCACATTGCCTGTTAAGACCTAGTTTGCTTAATATCCCGTAATGGCTGGGGAAGAACAGTTGGAACACCCAGCGCTGCTGCTGCTGAGCGGTAAAAATCTGGAGAGCTGCCAAAACTTTTTTGGAGGTAATTATAAAATTATGATGTTTACTTCAAAAGGCTTAATCTGCTTCTGTGATAGTCTGCTTGGAGAATCCTGTACAGATCAGGTTGCTAAACAATTTCAGTTTCATGAAAAACCCATTTTCAGATGCCCAGAACTTTCCAAAAAAATTTCTGTTCTGGCACTGAAAGCCACTGCATATTCCCCCCGGTCTCCATCCGAGCGTCCCCTGCTGCCTCTGAGAAGAGGGGAAAGCTATTTCACCACTCAAGAGTTATGGGAGACTGAAGTACAATACGTTTCTCCTTAGTTTAAGGGCCGACATACTTTTCCACCCTTCCCTACTTAATAGCTGAACTTTAAAACTTGGCATATACTTCATTACTCCTTTTGGACAATGTCCAAGACTAAGTTCAAACAGAAATAGGTTGACTAGAGTTATACGTGACTGAAAATAATCCCTGCAAAGCATATATAAACTGAGTATCTTTAAAATGCAGTTCTCCTTTTCCCAATTATCATAACAAGCAATCCCCATGTCCAGAGCAGCAAAACAGCAGACACTCCACTCCTTAACATCTGAGTGTTTTCCAGTCCTCAACTACTGAAATACTACAACTTACATATAGCCTGACAGACCCCCCCCTCCCCTCCACCAGCAGCAAAGATGGGAGCTGCTGCTGAAGAGATGGGCTGTACCAAAGTGAAGTACTTGGGACATGCTAACAGGATTATTTTATAGGAGCTTAACAAGGAAAGTTTCAGTTCAGCATCTCTTACCTTATGATGACAACACACTGAGGGCAAGTAGACTACAAATTACCTGTCAACGAATTGCCATAACTCATTTAAGCTTCAGTAACTCAACCACATCCAGTTGCATGCTACATCTGAGAAGCATCCTCTGTTTCTCAGCACTCAGGGAAACCTGGGTGTGCTACAGATATAGTTGACTTCCTCTTGAAGGGCATGTCTGCCCAAATCATCTATCGCCTCAGACTTTCTCACACCAAGAACATGGTGCAGCTAGAGAAACAGCAGCAGCTAGAGAAATAGCAGATCCAGATTCTCCTTCAGTCCCCTAACCTTCAGAGATTCTTGTTCCTGAAACTGAAAAGACTCCTCTGAACAATTTATTAAAGAAAATACAGACACTAACCTGTAATTAGCTCTCTGACTTCCATGTCATTTGTTTTTCGCAATAGTCTGATCAAAGCCGGGATGCCATCGCAGTTCTTTATAGCCACCTTGTTTTCATTATCCTTCCCATAGGAGATGTTTCTGAGAGCCCCACAAGCTTTGCGATGGACCTCTGGTTTTGGATGATCTAGTAGGCCTACCAAGATAGGGATCCCTTTAAGGTGCCTCACGTCCTTTTTGATCTTATCGTTCTCGTAGCACAAGTGCTGCAGGTAGGCTGCGGCGTTGGACTTGACCGGATCAATAGGGTGGCTGAGCATGGCAATTACTTCAGGGAGGTCAGGGTCCCTCCACCTAGGGTCTTTACGAATGCTGTCAATAGAGGGGGAGCGCTTCCCCAGGCGGTCAATGCTAGCCATGCTTCCTCTCTCTGGCTGTGCCAGTGGTGCTGCATAGCCACCGTGAAGGTAAGGGATCCTCTCTTCAACCATCTCTGTCTCGATGGGGTCATCGTAGCCCCTGTAAGAAGCAACAGTCCCAAGAGAAAAAGGAAAAAAACACACATTTAAACACTCTGTGCCTCTGAGCCAGTATGGCAATTTCAGCCATGATCAAACCGTTTAATATTATAGACATCATTAGGGGTAAAATATTTACACTTTCAAATAATGTATTTGTAGTAACATGAAAATTAAGCATAGCTGAGTACTCAGCAACGATGGGACTATAGCACAATATTTGTTTGGTTAGCAGTGACATAATGAAAGGAGCTGCAAGTTATCAAGCATATTGCTTTCATTTAGGTCACTTAGCAAAGCAATTATGACAGAACTGGATACATTTAGTAGGAAACACTGAGCTTCATTAATGACACTACTTCTGCAACAAACCAGAACTCTAATTAAAGGCATTCAAGGCCCAAGCACAAAGGGACTACAGACACTTTTCAACAAGTCTGAGAAGATTCACTGCATTTATTTCCATGTGAGAGCTCACGCTCACACAAGTATTCTGAATTTATCAATACACGTAACAGCTTGTCAAAGAAAATGGAAAATTTAAGTCCTGAATCCAAGCAGAACAGCAGAAGGCTATCTTTTATCAAATCAGTCAACATAAAGGTAAGATACTGATAGCCAAGAGATCTGGGTCTAACCGTTAACACCACAGTAATTTGCTGTCATCCAAAACGAGCCCAGTGCTCCATGCTTTTCTCCCTCTCCCGGAATCAGCAACTAACCTGGCTGTCAGACTACTAAGGTCATTTATATAGCACTAGAATGAACTACACCCATCTTGTTCTGCCATAATTCACTGTGCACAACTGAAGTAAGGTCAGTCCAACCAGCTAACACGCTTTTAAATATGACTGTCCTTGTTCACACAAAGGGCAAAGTCACAATTAACACAGCTGAAAATATTCTAACCCAATATGTTCTCATGCAACAGAATTTCCCACATTCTTATAAAAAAGTCACTATTTGTCAAATACTATATTTTTTCCCCTTAATACCAACCACTGCAACCATAATCCCTAACCTTCAGAAAAATTCCCCACACGGATCACTTCCTAAAACTGTCTGCTAAGACAGAAGATTTCAGCAATAGATTTGCAAGGAGTGACAGTTACTACCTTCAAAATTGGTTTCTGAGAACCACTGATACAGTTCATCTTTTATGTAAAAGTGACACCTTACACCCTCCAGAACACGCACAGCTAGTACAGGGGAGCTTCAAAGCACGTGAGATGCACCCATTGCTAAGATAATATTTAAGCCCTTACAGAAAGTACAAAATGAAGCCTGAAGCATGCATATAACGACCCATTGGTCTTGTGAAAAATTTGCTCATTCTTCAATTTTGCATGTGAATAAGCTCATAGGGCAACAAGGCAACTTGCACCGAGCAGTTATGAACTCCCACAAGCACCTTCCACTTTGAAATCTCTCCTCTCCGAGGCTTTGTCGTAAAAGCTCACACAAGTTAGCTAACCTCTCTTAGAGGAGTAAAGAGCTGAGGTGACTACTGGGGATTTCAACCAAAGTTTCAGTTAATCTAATTGTTTTACACTTGAAGTATAGAAGATTTTTCTTTTTCATCCTCCCTTCCAACTAATATGACCTTTAATGCATGTTAACATAAACTTATATGTTAAACGTATGTCTTCTTTTGCTGCTCCATAAAGCTGACAGATGGGATGAATATCATGAAAATTAAGGTTACTATTTAGAAAAGCCCTGTAGAATTCAAGACAACGCAGCCTTTCCAACACACGGTCCTTAAAAATAAAACTGCAGCACATGTACTTGCATCTGCAAGTACAGCTTATTTGCTTTTCAAACAGCCAAAGCTTTTTGCCCTGCTGTTTTTTCCTGGACAGATTAACTACTACTATAGCACTATAGTTATTTCAGTCAAGCAAGAAGTTTTAATTGCTACAAAATGATTCTTAAAAACTTTCTCTTTGGGCATTGACTGATGCTACTGAAAAATTTCTGATGTCATGCACAAGGATATACAGACCATTAAAACACAGAAAGAAAATGGAGCATGGTATTATCCTAAAGGGACTGCTAATTAAACTAGACTCTAGGGAGAACAGTAACTGGAGGTGGAGTCTGAACTTCGTCTTGTACAATTAATGCTTTTAATGTTGAAAGCACCTCTACTGACTTTAATTGCTGATCTAAACCATACTCTGAATGAAAGGATAAAAACGGGCCAGCGTCCAAAACTCAGAATGAATCTGAAGAAATCATTTATTGATGCAGTTATTTGTGTATGTATAATTGAGTACTTGCTCTACGCAGTAGTTTACAGTGTCTGGACAGCCGCTGTATTTTCTGTTAGAGAACAAAGCTGTTTCCGCCATTCCAAGAAGAAAGTACCAACGCTGAAAAGATTTACTTTTGTGCATACATATAGGGCAGAAGTAATAACAAATGCCCTAGGAAAAAAAAAAAAACTATTTGAGTACTAGTTTAAACACATGCAAATTTGAGACAGTCAGCATTAAAACTACAACAAAAGCAAGCTCACTTCTCATTCACCCTCACGTTAAATTAAGAAGTGCATACAAAAAGTAGATGAATTTTAATAACTGCCCTCTGCGCAGCTGTTTTTTGTTTGACTCAGTGGCTTGTAATTCAGCATGTCTCAATCCTATTAGCTGTCCACAGGATAACTGTACACCACCTCACCTACACCTGCACAATTAAGTGTCTTTCTTCTTCTCATCCATGCAAATACACAAAGATAATTATTGTCTTGGGCTGAGGCTTGTTTGCATTATTTCCGTGAAGCCTTCCAAAGAGAACCATGCTGATGGTCCCAACTCCCTCATGCGGTATATCCTCTTTCCAAGGCCAAACAAAATCCTTTGATACCATCAAAGTCCAAGTAAAAGCTCATCAAGCCCAAAATAAAACTTCAGAATTAGAACTTTAAATTGCAACGCAGCCAAGAAAAGAGCGAGCACCACATAACACTTATACCAACAATACCAACTTGATATTTATATTATCAATCAATTAATATTATCAATGCTTATTAAATTTGAGCGTGAATTGTCTGAAATAAAGCATCAGTCATTCTAAAAAGAGGATCACATCCCGATTTGCTACTTACTGGAACAAAGTTAGGGGAAAAAATTATTTTCCTTTCGTTATTCCAGTACATTACTGAAGCACCAAGACAGCCAATAGGCTTTGATGATCCTCAACTCTGATAACCCCTCTCTGAGGGAATCCCAAAGACAGAACTGTGCTAGAATGAATTACGGGAAGATGCTGAGCACTTCATGTTCCAGGGAAGAGGCTGCATTGCTGTGGGTCTGGGATACAAAGAGCGTCAGATGGTTCAAGATGAAACACGTAGGTGGTGGTGGGAAGGGCAGTATTGCTTAGAACCCACCACTGACAGCTCTAGAGCCAAGCAATGACAAGAGCACGTATCGCTGGCCCCAGCCTCAGCAGAAGCAAAGCAGCATCAAGGAAGCAGACCCTGAACCATGAAAGATGCTGGCAAGTGACCTGTGACAACCATCAGTATTTCCATCCAGTCCTATCCCTGCACATGTCTTTCAGACGCTCCTACCTCTGTTCCTGCCAACTTCAGCCTGATTTTGCAGAACCATCTCTTTTGCAAAGAGCAGGATTACAAGCCTACTGCGATCACTTCAGTGCAGAGAGACAGCGCTTTCAGACAAGATGAAGAGTGCCTCTCAAATATTTTTTTCAGAGAAAGGAAGAACATGGGAAACACCATTGTTATCATATGCCTGCATAGGGGGTCGAGTGCACCTCTGTAGGTTGAAACAGTGTCAACAGTTAGCCAGCCACTGTTGAAAGAAATAGTAACAAAACCAATGGCTTTTCCTGGCAGCAAAGATAACAGCTGGATACCTGACCCTTCAAGACCCTGAATAAATATCCAGAAACTCTGATGTCCTGGCATGAACTTAACAGCTGTACAACAAAGCTTAACGAAGGCAAGTATCACACCAATTTGGATTGATATTATTAAATATAGTGATCAAGTAAGGAGAAAGAAAAAACAAACCATATTGAAATTAAAGAAAAAAAAAACCTTAAAGGTTTTACAAAGGAAGCTCTAAATGTCAACTCTGCCACTGCTTAATAGCATTGAGTGAAGCAGTTTACCAAAATAGATCATTTACCATCTGCGAAGGAACAAAATAACTCATTAGCTGAAGTAATGCAGAACTACCACAAAGCCTTTGACTGGCAGAAAGCGATCCTCTCTCTTGGTGCTGGTGAGGATCGTCTGGCCCAGTTTAAGTCCCATCTCCTCCCCCCTTAGTAGGGGGGCTGGGAACCAGAGAAGCACAGACCAGGCAAAGGGAACAAGAAGTCATAAGCAAGTATTTGCTGGGGAGTTAACCACATTCTGTTTCTGAAAACAAATCAGTAAAACCAGCAACATATATATTCACACACACAAAGAGAACAGAGTAATAAATCAATTGCATTGGGTGCATGTAGTAACAGAGGTCTAGAAGAAATTTTCCTTCGAGTCAGATTGGCAAGGGCCAAACAAGTTTTTTTTTTTTTTCTTTGTGTTGTTTTTTAAACTTTCATTTCAACAGGGCAGCTGTGCTGGCAAGGTAAGCTGCTTAACACAGGAGGAAGACTAATATGAGTTTCAGCAGACAGGGTCGTCTGCGCTCAGGAGGCCAAGTCCTCTTTGGTCTTGGGACTGAAGAGATCTGGTTGTTGCACGCCAGGGGTTGTTGCCTGCAAGCATCTTGCTGTTTCTGGCAAGGCAGCCGAGTTCTTAGGACACTGTGGGTATCGCTAATCACCCATCTCAGGGAACTGATCACAACACATTCAAGCATAGATAAAAACTGGGAGAGAGCTTGCAGGTACATCATCTTCCTTGCGGCTTCACACAGGCATGTTTGGGTAAAGAGGTGAAGGATTTGTACATTTAATCCCCAACAATTTATACAAGTGTTACGTTCACCACAGTTTGCACCTGGTGTCTGCTTAGGATAA